CAAGAGCACATCTTTGCACAACGATTGCAATAACAGATGAATAAACATGCAACCTGACACCCCACATCTGCTATTTCATCACTCTAAATACCTTATGCACATTCAAATATATTTAATAGAGTGGAAACTTTATAAGGTAGTAGTATCTTTATAGAAGCAGTAACTGTTTTGGAAACTTTCAAATTAAAAGCAAAAATAAAAAATAACTGTTAACAAGTTAGTATTGTTTCATTAAGCTATTCACCTAATAGTTTCCTGATAAACACCTAGACAGAGGAAGGGAAGGGTGTTGACCTACAATGCCACATAAGTCTTATAGAATCAGGCTTTGTGCTCGTGTATTAGCTGTGAGAAGTTCCATTTGAAGTTCCATTAATATTAGTATGGTGCTTTGGAGATGAAAAGTGCTGTTATGAATCCTGCAATATTCTATTTGCCTAGGCAGAGTATTTTTATTTGATGAGTGAATAAAATACCATTAGTTTTTTCATTACCAACCCAGTAAGGACAGACTCATAACTTTTGTGCCTGGACTACAACATTTATATAACAGTTTTGCAAGGTTGTAATATACTCTTACACCTTTGCATTGGGCTTATTAATCTTTACAGAATATGTAAACAGCTTTGTTACATTTTTCTTAAAACTATTAATAAATTTGTCCAGTAGCTTTGTTTCCTACACAGATACATTTGCTTCATCACTCAAGATCTTTTTACAGGATAATTGATTTTTTTTTTAATTTAAAAAATTAAATATCAAACTATTTTCCCTATTAGATATAATAGCCGTCTTTGCTATCTTGAGGATAAGTTAATAATATTGTTAGTAAAGTATCTGCATGTCTACAGGCATTATCACACTTAATGACTATTCTGAATTACTTTTATATCATCCCCAAAGTGCTACCAAAGATATCTCTTAATATAGCTACATTTTAGATGAATGAAAACAAACACACTGGATCAAATTAATTCCCGCTGTAATGCCACTGACTTCAGGGTTGTTACACCAGGGATGAATTAGAGTTGCATTTCACTGCAGAATCTCTGCAGCCTTCATTCTTCTAATCTTTCCATAACAGTCTTTGCAGGAACAGAGACAAGTGCAGGCAAGTATCCTGCCAATAAGTGAGTTAACAGGAATCGCCACGAGTAACTAAACTGTCAACTGAAAAAGACCAACAATTTGAACTAAGTACAAACACAGCCAATGTGCTGTAATGGATTATGGGTTTTATAGAGTTTTAGACCATAAAGATACAAATACATTACTGTTTATTTATGGGAGGGGAAATAAGTCCTGCAGTGTCACACTTCCTATTTATAAATAGTATTTGTATTTTGTCAATACTTTTCTTAATGCAATGAAAGAAAAACAAAAAATCCCTCACACACCAAAGGCCTTGCATGGCAAATTTGAGTAATGTGGGTATAAGAGTAGCCTATTTCTTCCTTACTTATTTCTTCAAAAAGTGAGCAGCAGGTGCTCAGCAATTTTCAGGATGAGGTCCTCCATCCTGGATCAAACTTTCATATTCACTTCCATTTTCCAACCATAGTCACTCCTTTATTAGTAACAACAATAAAACCATCATTGAGGGGGAAAAGATGGAACTATGGGTGGCACTGTTCTGCAGAAACCATCTTCTCTATTTGTTTGGCCATTACTGGCCACTCTCTTTCTTTTAGGAATTTCCTAACCAATATTCCTGGCATGAATACTAGCCTAAAATAGGTAAGTATCTTTGGTTTTTACACAATTATTTCCCTGAGTCAAAGTTCAGGAGTTTCTGAATGCTTTGTTGTATGGTTTCCATGATGGAGTGGGGGGCCATAAAGCAGCTAAGAGAAGGCCAAGGCACAACAGAAGACATCACTGTTTCCTTGCATCTCACATTTCTTTTCTCCATGGATCCTCTACATAGTTCTCAAATCCTTCTTCTTTGTGGGGTGCAATGCCCAGAAAAGTTCTCTGATCCTCTTGACACAGTCCCATGGGTTACTTTTCATAGAAGAGCTGGAGTAGAGGGAGAATGACCTGGGCCGAAGAGAAAATGGCATGGCTTTGTCCCACTCCTTCAAAAAATCATCACAAAAGTGTGGAAGAACAGCTGAAGAAAAGCAAACCACATTCACAAAACACAGAAGCCAGGGATATCCCTCAATGCCAGAGGTAGAATTGACACAGCAGCCCACATTTCCTTCTTCAGAGAGGACAACCCACACACACCTTCACTGCAGAGATGGGATTTACAAAAACCCCAGTAGTGCCTACACACCCTTGAAGTCAAAAGAAGTAAGTAAGTGAGGAACTCACACCCAACCAAATACATGAGCTCTACTCCTAAGGACTGCTCAAGATAATCACAAAAAAAGAGTCGTGAAGGAATTCTGCCTTCTGCTGAAACTAAAATGTCTTATTAAATCTACAGGGGAGACTGTTTAAAAACCTTTCACGGGAACAGATTCATCCCTTCTTCAAAATATCCCTTTTTTGAAAAGGAAAATCACAATTGCCCTAACTTGAGCCCATCACAGAGAGATCATTACATTTGTCTTTCTGGAAAATCATATTTATTCTAGTGTCTATATTTAAAGGTAATTTCAGTCGGAAAATGAAATGGTGCTATCTTGACCTTTTGTCTTGCATGGTTCATGAATTACCGACACATTACAAAATGCCCCAACCCTGTGGAAGCTTTGAAATATCGTAATGTCTTTCTCGTAAGAGAAATAAACTTGGTATGCCACTAAAAGGCATTAAATTATTTTCATTCTGCCACACAGAATCTAAAACACTTATGCTGTTTTGATTTCAAAATCCTTGGAGAACAATTATGCTCTTAGGACCATAAGACTCTATTATAAAGTCCTCAGAAACCTAGCATGACTTCAATAAATCCTCAAAACACTACAAAGCAGTTACTCAGCTTGAAGAATGAAAACATGAGTTCATCCACGAAAAAGTCAGGATGTAAATACTACTCATACAGCATTTTGCATTTCCTAACATATTTCTTCTTCAAAATTATGGCAACGTTTTAAATCAAAGTTGCAATAGCATATATGTACTTAATTTTCATATCAAACTAATATTAAAACATTTTATTTAGGGTTTGTAATTATATTCAAAGTAAGAGTTCTGTATTTTATATAATGACATAGATGCGGCAGATATGGTTTAAGACATTTATTGTCAATTAACTATGCATATTTATTGCATAGATAGTGTTCTATAAATATATATATATATATATATATATATATATATATATATAGGATTCAGTACAATTGTCATATTAAACCTACAGTAGGAGATTGTTAAAAAGTAAAATCCTTACATGTACAAATGTGTGAGTTTTCATTAAAACACAAAAATTCACATTACAAATACATTACTTCCTGCAGAAGGGGATCTAAAAAGAAAAAAAATACATTTCAGAAGTCATTACTGTAAATTACCTATGGATTATGAGACTCTGACTTAAAAAATTGAGTCAACATTATTTCTGGCAGATAAGAATGTCCATGTATAAGTACAGTCTTTCACTAGAAATATATAATAAACATGTTTGCAAGTATATCTCTAAGTCATTCCAGAAAAAGCACAAACTATTAAACTAATTTTTCATCCTTTTTTAAAGAGTAACAACAAAAATATTTCAATCAAAATAGAGGGAAATTACAGGGGAAGGGGGAACAACGGGAGAAAGAAAAAAAACTATATTCTCAGATATTAAAAAAAAAAAAAATCAATCCAGCTGGAAAACAGGGCCTAGAAACTTTCTGCCAACAGCAGCTGAGAAGCTTCATCACAAGTCTATTTTTCCAGACATTATGTTTCATTTGGCTGCAAGGGTCACATGACAGCTGCAAACTAACGCCTTAAGGTTTGTTTCTGCCTCGCTGTGACACTGACAGGCTGTGAGAGACTCCCAACACCACAGAAAGACATTTTTTTCCTTGTTTCCATTACATCATCCAACCAGTACTGGGGGAGGGGGCACAGCTGGTGGCAGCTGCAGTACCATCTGCTTTCTCCTTACAGTGCCTGCTAGTTTGCTCTGTAGGTTCCTACTGATATTGACGGAGAAGGCACTTTGTTAAAGACACAACATGCCATTATGTGACATATATTTACAATTATTTAGGAACAAATTACTCTAAAGATCAGGAAAGCTGCATCAATGCATCAGGTAGACTCCTGATCATTTTTAATCATAACAGTACAAAACCACAAATACCAAAACACTCCATGATTAATAGAATCAAAGTGCACAGGAACAACCCACCATCTGCCTTTTACAACATGAACAGCCAAAACTAAAACTCTACAGTCAGCAATATTTACAAAAGTTTAAAAAAAAAAAAAAAAAAGAGGCCAACTTAAGTCTCCAAAATCAGAGATTAGCTGGAGTAAACTGGAAAGACAAAACTAAACAACATTGGGATAATATGTATGCATAGGTGTCTGTATTGGTAAATGGACTCAGAACATCATATAATTTAGTAGTTCACAAAGAGAAAAAAACCTTGCATCACTCACTGAGAGGACTGTGAAAGTGACAAGAACTTTATTACTTCTTTATTAAAGTGCTATACATTTTATTGTGCAATCACTGTATTTCCAGATGATGGTTCAAGTTGATTTTATTTTACTGCACCGTTTATTGAAAAATGAAGAGTGCTTACATATTTTTTATGCACAAGGAGTCACACATTTAAAAACCTTCTTTTAAAAATACTTATTCAGCCACATTGTAGATACAGCTGCAGAACTGTAAATTTAATGATTGTATCTTTTCTACCAATCACTAACTAAGGTCTGGAGAGGTCTGGTAACTGAATGCTCTGGAACTCCGTTAACTTCATCAGAGTTCTATCTGTTTTACACTGGCGTATCTGGAGATAAGTATCTAGTCTTTTGTCTAGATACAGGTTTGGCTGTGTGCATCTCATCAGACAATTATTTCAAAAGGTTAAATTTGCACTACTTACCATACATTTTGCCTTCATCTGATAAGATGATTTTCCTCCTCCCACATGGTGGATAGATAGCTAGAGCCTCCTGAAAGCTCTGTTCAATGTCAGGACTCCAGACACCTTCTGCATCATTGTCAATAGGTTTATCTGCAGAATCACTCATTCTTTCAATGTCTTCGGCAGGGCTTTCGCTGCCGCTCCAGCTGCTGGGCTCAATGATGGTGGCTGGGGTCTCCAAGCCTAAGCCTGGAGTCTTAAAGAAAATAAACCTAAAAAACAAACAAACAACAAAAGATATTAAAGATATGGAACTTAACATGAACATTCCTTGGCTACTCCCAACTCTAAAGTAACTTGAACAGAGCTTGCCAGCAATGGGCACAATGTGAAAGTGCTATTGTGATTAATGAGTTTGTAAAAACCCAATAAAAAGTAAAATACAAACACAATTCCATCCCGAAACATCTGCAGAATGAGTGTCTTGAAACAAAAGCCATTAGCCACACTTCACTTTTTCTGCACCACTACATGTAGGAATAGAGTATCAAGTTACTTTTTAAACATAGTGTAACTTGGTGAATACCTAATACTAGAAAAAAAAAATCAGTTGAATGTAATATATTCAGTTTGGATTTTCATTGGAAGCCTTAAAATAATGGGGCAGATCTTCAGTTGGTACAAATTCGTGTCTCTCCACCAACTTCAATGGAAGTACACTGGTTTACCCCAACGAGGATCCAGCCCATTAAATCTAAAAAGAAACATGTTAAATAAAATAAAACAACAAATTTATCCCAGATATCAATGGAGTTAGTAGAACTGCACCAGGGATGAAATCAGCCCAGTATGGTTAACCGGGAAATATTGAGATGTTTAGATCTTACCAAATGAATAACACAAAGTCTGAACTATACATAAGGTAAAATCTTTAAAATAATAATACCAAAGAAAGGAATAGCTACAGAAGATATTACACATTTAATCTATGTTTTAAAAAGCCATGGAAATACATCAGAACAAAAATTACAAGCTTCAAGTTGCTGAATCAATTTAATAAGAAATAATTCAATATAGCAGCACCTGCTAACACCACTACAGCTACAGATCTGTCAGTGTACCTTTTATATTTTTGAGAGAAATACAACTCTGCTATAAAGGTTTGCTTCAGGCTAAAATCTGCAATACCTGACCAAATTCATCTCTGGTGTAACTCTTTAGAAGGCAATTATGCAACACCAGGAATGAATTTGGCTCAACATGTCTAGGCATACCACATTTTTATTAAGGAAAAAAAAAGACATTTGGTGACTTTCGTTATATAAATAGGAAGGGAATTTAAAAAAACGAAATTAAATGAAACCAAACCTCTCTTAACTTCCAAACTCATTTATTTGATTTATTTTGAAATGAAGGACCATGATGTGCCTTCTCTACATGAAAGTGGAGAGAAGGGAAATAAGACACCTCTACAGCACAATTCTAGTTCCCACAAACCCTTCTGCAGGCTAATTGCAGATGAGGAGTATGGCAGGCTAAGCAACATTCATCTTCCCGCCTGCATCCCACAAAAACAGCAGGGGAAAGTCAGTATAACCAGAGGCTTTAGCAGCTTTCCTGAGGACACCCCTCCATTTTGAGGAACTCCCTTACAGAGGTGCTACTGACAGCAAGCACTGTTTGGGGAGTGTCAATCTGTAGGACCCAATCCGGCGAGAGGTGGATGATGCCTTGGAAAAATGTGGAGTCAAAACTAGAAGTGGTCCCTCTATCCCACATTAAATGGCTGGATTTTCAAAGGTAATGAGCATCTGCAACTTCCTCTGATTCCAGCGAGAACTGAGGTTGCTCAGGACACCTCTAAGGATCAAGCCACAAGAAAAATTTTCCACACCCATGTTCTTTTCTACCCGACGGCCTTATTTAGCCCCATATTGGTTTTAAAAATTTCATCACAACATCAAAAGTGTTCGTAACTGCCCACCATTAATATCAGGATTAATCTGTGCCTAGAAAATCTTTTAATAAAGCAGTATTACAGGCAAAGCAGAGGTTAGTAGCCAACTGAAAACAGTATACTGCACAGCAGCGGCATGTGAGAGTGGAAACTTCGGCTAACAATATCAGGGCAAAAACCTACTCTCAGAAAAAGTACTATGGGATCTTTGTCATCCACAGAAAAGAGACAGTGCCTTGATTTTTATATGACATCCAAAAGAGAAAGAAACACGAACACCTCAGAAGGTTGAGGGGCTGGTTTTACCCCAACAGGACTCACACTTTGTGCTCAAATCACTGAACTATTCCCTATATCAGCAACATCTACACAAAAGTATTGGGCAAGAACTGAAGAATAACCCAGCTGGAATGCCTACGACGTGGGGAATTTTAGGTAAGTGAGAGTAATCATATTCTAATTAGGGTAATGACATTCTACTAAGGACAAGAGTTTTATTAACACTGCTCTTGCAAAAAAAATAATAATAAATCGCATCAGATCCTTGATGGCCTCTAGCGATCAAGCTCTCAGGTTTATATTTCATCCAAAGAAGTGAGCACCTCCAGCAGCACAGCCCTAATGACATACTGGGGCATTTCTTCACTATAGACGCAGAGGGGACGCATGCCAACTACTCTAGCACCAATGCCATTTCCTGACGCATGCAGGCGAGCCACTTAGGTCTCCCATTCTAGTTCAACCGTGCTCTACTTATAAACTCTGCCAGGATTATAGCCCAAAATCTTGAGCACTCCCATATAAAATGATTCTGAAGAAACATCTAGGAAAACATTATGTAGGCTCCAAAGTAATTAATGTTACTTGATATTCATGTTGGACCTCACATTGTGTATAATGATGATATTTCAACTGACTTTCTGTCTCCCTTTCCCATCCCTTTCTACCTACTTGGGTCATCTTCAGGTAAAACTACAGCTTCTACAAATCAATGTTTAGCAGCCTCTAAAGCGTAGGACAAACATGTGTTTCTTGTCAAATGTCAGTATGGTGGGGGAGGGGAGCAATCTGTTGGAAATAAGCTCTCATGTACTGAGGGAAGCTTTTAGTGAATTCCATTTTTGTGAATGCTGACACTGCAGATCAAGCCAGCAGACACAGAGGGAAAAAAAAACAACTTGTATCCCAACTAGTAAATGACTCCCTCTTATTTCAGGAGAATAATGAACTACTCAGTTAAGTCACTTCCATCTCTACACAATGTATCAAAAGGCCATTTTACTTCATATTATAGTTTGAATTCTAAGGCCTCAACCATGATGAAATAATTCAGTGTTAATGTTCTAGAGTTCAAAGTGACTATGTGAGGGATCACAATTTATTTGCCATTAGACAAGCTACACTACACACTTATTAGGTGCTGTAAAACTAATTAAAAAATTGGAATTTTGCGCCAATTCCTGTGAAAAACATATTCCGTTCATGCACTTCTTTGATATGTGTAAATTTCAATGCTCAAAGTAACACCTTTCTATGCAAGAGGATTTAATTAACTGGAAACAGCAAGAAAAAAGAAGAAGATATACATGTGTACGCTCACGCACAGTCAAACCAGGACGAATGGTTCCACCATTGTTCTCCAACACATTACAGCTCATCTACCTTACCCTTTAAATAATACCCATCACTTTCATGTGCCTCATTCCCTGCCAAGCAAAACAAAAATTTAAACCCTCATCATTGATCCCCAAATCCAGACAAATATGTTCTTTCAATTCTCCCTTTTGTAGCTCCTGGGGTTGTTTTAGATGCCTCTTTTCAGATTTCCCTTTCAGTTGCTGTGTCCTGTTCCTTGCACCCTTTATTCTGTATTTCTGCTTGATTCCCATCGTGCAGATAACCTTTTAGCTGCAGGCCATAGTAACCTCTGCCTGACCATATCTTTCCTGCATTTGCTCTCCCCTAGGTTTGTCTGCTTCTTCCTCTCGCCTGTCAGTCAAACCTAACCATATTGATGTCTTCATGTAGTTACACTCTTCCTGCATGAGAGCTGAAGTATCAGCAAGGCTTTATATTTGGTAACCCCTCCCTGCCCCAGAAGGAATAAATTAAACAAAATAGAAAATCTCAGAGGGCCATATTGAATTTTATAAACATATTTTAATGGTCATCAACCCAGCAATGCTTCATAAAGACATAAGAAATGGTTTCAGTACACTTCTACCCCGATATAACGCTGTCCTCGGGAGCCAAAAAATCTTACCGCGTTATAGGTGAAACCGCGTTATATTGAACTTGCTTTGATCCAACGGAGCGTGCAGCCCCGCCCCCCGGAGCACTGCTTTATCGCGTTATATCTGAATTCGTGTTATATCGGGTCGCGTTATAGCGGGGTAGAGGTGTATATAGCTAAATGTAATGTACATCCATTCATGTTTAGCTTGTTGGAGCTTTACTTAAAAAAATTCCAAGAAATGAGGGATAACTTGTATAATACCTCGTCAAAAACAACCCATCAACTTACATTCTGGAACTTCTCACTGGAGGAAAGGTTTTGTTCAGCTGAGTCCAGCACATCAGACCCAAATTCTCCATTTTTAGGCCCCTGCATTTATCACTGAGCAGTGCAAACACAGGCCTGGTCTTGCAAGCTGCCATTCACAGGTAGAAAACTAAAGTCAATAGAGTTCCATAAAGGTGCAGAACAACTTGCAGGATTGGGGCCGCAATGTGCAAAAGATCTTTCAGCATTTGCACGGTGGGTTGGCACAAAAAGAAGTCTAAAACGCAGGGTTTGTCAGAGTTGGATAATCTTTTACACTAGCCTGGCAAAATTCAACTGTGATTTTTTTCATTCAGTCGAGCTGATGTGAATTACCAGCATATAGATTCTAAATTGTGCTTTTTCACTGGCATATTGTCCCCAAAACCTGCTTTACTGAAACAGGGCTGATCCTCTCCAAGTACCAGTATGGGGAATCTGTAAGGAGTAAAAACTTGAAGTAATTCAGAGAACTGTGTAACTAAGCTGATAAATATGATTATACTGCTCCTAAACTACTGCTCATATGTAGTCCTCCTAAACTCTCATCTCTACCCACCTAGGATGTTTTATTGAATCTTTTTGACACCACCTACAATGGTGTCTTCACAGACTTTAACGTGAGAAAGGACCATTATGATCAGCTAATCTGACCTCCTGAATAATGTGGGACAGAGAATTTTACCCAATAATTCCTTAATCTAGCCCAATATCAGCCCTGGTCAAGCTGCCCCTTTTGGATACT